ACACCGCCTCTGAGTTGTGTAGTCGACTGTCTCCCCCGCCGACGCCTCGCCCACCTTCGGGGCCCCCTGGATCCTGTCGTGGCTGGACCGCGGCAATTATCCATCCTCGTATTGGTGATTTTAACCTTGTCTGTCTGCTCAAGGTGACGCCCACCAGGTTTCTATGCTGTAAAGTACCTTGTAGGGAGAGAGACTGATTAATTTAATAAATCAAATAGAACTAATTTGTTGTATTCTTTACTTATAGCATTACATGGAGCTGAACTAACATGGCCCTGTGACGTGACAGAGGGGACACACAATTCGTATGTAACAAATTATTATCTTTACTCTCGTCTGGTCAAAGGAAAACCCGGATGTGGGGCTGGGGGCAGGGGGAAGATCTCGCCTCGTCCGGAAATGTGCCTGTTTTCAGCCCCTTCCATCCGGTTTCTCTTGGTCCCAGAGCTTTGAGCTTTCCTCTTACGTGAAATGTGTAATATTACTTTACCGTAAAAGAACATTCTCATAGAAAACGGCTGGAACATATAGAGTAGAAAGAAGAAATTCATACTACCAATCTAGAGTCCACTAGTGGCACTTTGGTGGATAGTAAGTTTTAAATTGGATTTCGGAAACTTCGCCGTTGATTTGATTTCACGAGAATATTCTAAGTCTCAAAGGAACCAACCGTACTTTTGAAAATTCATTGGATTGTAAACCAGGGTGACTAGCGGTGGCCATTTGCATTTATGTTCTGTGTATGTAAGTGGCACCACTGGAGATGGCAGTATACAACCTACTCAGATGCCTGCATGGCCCTGACTGTTGGTACCACGTACACCTCTTAGCAGTAATGTGGGGCTGGCTACTTCAGAGGTGTTTGGGGTACACTTGGAGGTTCACAGTTCCTTTATTTCAGAAAGGAAATAATCAAGAAACATACTGGTTTAGTTGATTAATGGAATTTTATGCCAGGCCCTTTCCCTGCTCTTCCCAAGGACTCTGGGGTTCAACTGGGACTCATCAGCCCTTGAAGAGCTGAGGCCTTCTCTTACATTTTCAGCTACAAAAAACACACTTACTACTTGCGGAGAATATATCGGATAGTTCTATTCACCTGAATGCAAAAGGAAACAAGTTCAATTATATTCCTATTCATTATAAATTGCTATTCGTGTCACTAATTACAAGGAAAAATCGTTAATGCCTTTTGAAAGTGATCTTACGTTATAACTAGTGATATGTATGTAAAGAAATCCTGGAAGTCTGTCTCCCCCTCCTTTAAAAAACATTTGGGGCGCCCAGAGGAGCCTCTAGTATCCGTATTTCTATACTGGGATGAAATTTTAGGCAGCATTATCCTTAGTCCTCCCAGAGCTCTGGCTAATTGCACTGACCAGAGCACCCCCCAACAACGTGGCCTAGGTCACCAGTACCCATTCTGATTGGTTTCCGTACCCTCCCGAATGCAGCTAGATGTATGTCCTCTGTCACCACACGCTGGAAGCAGAAGAAATCACT